CTCTAGCTCCGTAGCAAGATGTGGGTCAGGTAAGGAAGGGGAGGATTTCTGGCCCTGGGCTGCAGAGTGTCAGGAGGTTGAATCTGGAGTTTGTGTTTCCTGATTGTCTTTCCTCCAAGTATACTTCACAGTGAAAGGATGCAATTAAATCTGAGATTTTTCACATTTTCTATACATGGATCTTTTGGGAAATGCAGGGAGGAATCTTGATATAGAAGTCTGTGTTTAACAGAATGGGTTTTATTGTTTGAAAGTATGTGTTTAGATAATCACGTGGTAGTTGGATTATGTCAAGGCAAGGCAATGTGTTCTCTCCTTCATATTCTCATGCCTATTAATACTAAAACATTAAAATATTTTGCTGAATAAGATCTGATACCCTCACAAAAGCTTAAGATGGGGGCTGACAAACTGGATAATCCTATTTTACAAATGAAGAAATATAGGTCAGAATATTCTAGGAGGAAAAAATGCTCTTTGCCTTTATTTTTCATCGCTATTAATATGAATTTAAAATTCTATTCTCACTTTTTCTTTGGGAATGAAAAAGTTTATCATTCCTTTGCTGGTAGATACTTTTTATCATTTCATCACAAACTTGACAAAGCCTTCAAAGAAATGGTATCCTACCCTCTAACTGACAGAATTCAGATGCACTCTTTATGAGACTAAATGCTCTTTTTGACCAATACTCTTCATTATGTCATTGAATCATGCAGTATGTCTTTAGAGGACTCTCTTAAGTGTTACATTTTTACCCTCAGAAACCTCAAGATTTAGGCAGGGAAAGTGCTGTTATTGTTGTTTTGAGGAGCCAGAAACACCGAAGTACATGTGACACCGGCGTTTGTTAAGACCCGAGAAGGAAGGAAATGCGGAGACCAATGTACTGGATGACTCCTTACAGGCTTCCAGTTCTGTGAGGCAGGCACCGGTTGGGGTGGGGTCCCATAGACTGAGTCCAATGTGGAAACCCAAAGGGCTTTTAGGAATCCAAGAGACTCTACCAGGGTTTAATGTAAGAGACTTTTATTAACAAATAAAGCAAGCTTAAGCAGAGGAGTGGAGAAATTATTGAGAGTTAGAAAGTATGTAAACATAATCTATGATACGAGATAAGAGATATCCAGAAAAATAGAGCCAGAAAAGATAAACAGAGACAGAATGTGCGAAGTGGACACAGCACATCACTGGAGGAGAGAGACAGATAGTGAGGGAGAGACGTTTGGAAGGGAAAGTCCAGAGAGCCACAGAGAAGGACAGTTGCCTTCATAGAGTAGCGCTCTGTGAAGGTGTATGGAGATATAAGTGTATACCTTCATGTGCCCCAATAGGTATAAAGTGGGGCAAGGACATAAACACAGGACCAGGGATGCAGGAGGGAAATGAGGGAGGCAGGAACAGTCCCAGAAAAAGAAACCAAGACAAAGAGAAGTACCAAGAGACTCCAGTGCCAAGAGACAGAGGTAGAAACACAAGCAGCAGAGACGTGTGTCAAGGGTGAAGATGAGAGTGCCAACATGGGGTGGGAGAGCAGGTGCACAAGGTTTCTGACAGTCTCAGTCAGATGGCTGGATTGCACAAGAGCTCCTTTTACCCTCACAAACTCTTAAACATGGGTATGCAAACAGCTAAATGTCTGTCTTACAGACTGGGAAATAAAGCACAGAAATGCAAGCAGGATATTATCGCAAAGGCAAAGTAGAAAAGGAAGAGTGGGCACCAGTGTCCTGGATGTGTCACTGGGTGATGGTTGTGCAAAGCCAGCTGGGGGTTCAGGGTAGGGTCACAGGGTCAGAATAGAAAGAAACCCAAGGAGTTCTGTAGGTTCCCGGAGGAGTGGACCAGGGACCAATATAAGGCTTTAAGAGGGGAAAAAAATACTAGTGGGAGGGAAGGGAAATCATGGAAACACAGCATGGAAATAGAGTCTGCCCTTTGGCATAGGATGGATATAGAATAAGAGCTAAAGAAATAACAGAAAAGAGATACAATATCACTAAAAAAGGAAAAAGAGATAGAAACAGGAATCAGAAGAAGCCAGTTGGAGAGAAGACCAGACAATCCAAGCGGTGCCCAACTTGGAGGGAACTGTGGAGGCAGAACTGTGAGGAGGACACTGAGAATTAGAGAGAAGGAGAAAGAGGAGATGCAACAAGATGGAGAAAAGGCGGAACAAGACGAGGGTGGCTGTCAGTGTTTGCCCATCTTGGATGTCGTGAACGCACTGAGGTCTGTGTCCATGTACCCTTTGTGGTCCGTCAGTTTCTTGTTTCTCTGCAGAGAACTTGGATCTAAAGACTCCCCAAATCACTAATGAAGGAGAACCAGAGAAGGGGCTCTGTCTACTACCAGATGAAGGAGAAGGTAATTATGATTTAAATTTTTAGATATTTGAGTACTTCTTTGTTTTCCAGTTGGCATGGAAAAAAAAATTCCCTTTCTCCCATCCTACCTTCCCTTCTTCACATTCGCATGCATACAGATGGAATTATGTCAATTTTCTGTCGGGCTTTTTTGTAAATTGTGAGAGACAAAGGATCAAGGTAAGGTGAGTCCCTGAGTGGAGACCATATCGTTGCATGGAGAATACAGGGAGACAGAATATGCCAGAGTTAGGCTGGGGGCACCAGAGAAGAAATGCCTGGGTGATGATATTAAACACACATTAAACCTAAATATCAGCAGGTTATGGTAATTGAGGCAGGGAGATTGTTTTCAGCCTACTTTCAGAAGCATCAGGAACACAGACATAAGTTTTGTGAATGATTGAATGCTTGCAGTTGAGAAAAGTCATGTGGAAGACCCTTGGGATGGAACTGACAAGCAAAAGATATGCGGTTTTATAGCCCCTGCATAAATGGAAGAACTTTTCCAACCTGGGAGAAGAGAACTTTGAGAGTGAGGAAAATATATAAAATTATAGACATTTTACAGGCATCTAAGAGGGCAAGGTAAAACCCAAGGAAACAGACAGAAAAGGAGAAAGTAAAAGACAAAGTAGAAAGTGGATAACCAAGAGAGAAAAGTTAGAGAAAATTGTTCAAATGGAGGCAAATACAAATGACAACAATGTTGGAAGGAAGCACAGATTAAACTATGCAGAGAAAGAGACAGATCAAAATAATTAGAGAACCCATAAAGAGTGCAAACTATTGTCGGAGGAAAGGAGCAGGTTGAGGGCCTGTAGAGCTGAAGTCAGAGTCACTAGACAGCAGCAGCTTCCAGCAAACGGCACCTCTGTCAATAGTGAGTTTTCCGATTCAGGTCCCCCGAGGTTGAGAGTTACATGGAAGCACACTCAGAGTGTAAGAACACTTTCCCCAGTCTCATCTGCTCAGGTAGTGGAATGATTGTCAAGTATTTAATATCTGTCTGCCAGGCAGGCCTCCCTTCCAAGCTCCTCCATCCGTGTGCCTGAAGACATTTATCTTGGGACCTTCCTTTTTGCAATGTCTTTCAGGAACTGAACACTTCACAGTGGAAACCAGCACCTCCTCTGAACTTAGAAACTCCTCTTTCTCCAGGGTTTGCTTTCTCAGTAAAGGGAGGAATATCCTGTTTGATCTTGTACTCATCAGACTCATTTTTTTCTGCTTTAACACAATTGTTATTCGCAAGATATCAATCAGATCATTATTTTCCCCTTCGACGTGGTAATGTTTGTTGCACAGGATTAGATGAGTTATCCTTCCTGTGGATTTCTGTGGCTTCCACCCTTCATGGGGCCCCAGCCCATATCATATGTCTCATCTCTACTAATGGCATCAATTGTTTCGGGAGCTGCAATGATCTGATCTTTCTTTTATGTGTGGGCCCTTGAGCCACACTTCCCCTGTACTATGTGGTGTTGCCCTGGCCCACTCTGTTCCTGATCCCCTTCCTTATCTGGTTCATTTTCACTGTCCCAGGAATGCCTTTCTTTATACCTAGTTTTAAAAAGGGGGTGACAAGGAAATAAACAAGATAGGGAAAGCCAGTAAAGAGCAGAGTCAGGGGTGCAAGAGAAAAAGACAGGAGTAGAGAAGGGGGGCAGAAACACATGGAAACAAAGAGAAGCACCTGGAGCCACTGGCAGCAGGAAAGCAGGGCAGAGAAAGAGGAAGTATGCAGAGGAAAGGGGGAGGGGGAGAAGGAGAGAGAATTCGGAGTCCAGGCAGGAAGTGAGCTGATGGATGGTTCTCAGCCTTGGTGACAGCAACTGGAGTGTGTCCACCTACAGGCCAGGAGGGCCTGGGTGGCGGACAGCCCCACCTAGGAGATACTTCAGCTTCCCACATCTTCACTAAGTTTTCTCTTCATAATTTCTTTTTTTTTTTTTTGAGATGGAGTCTTGCTCTGTCGCCCAGGCTGGAGTGCAGTGGCTGGGTCTCAGCTCACTGCAAGCTCCGCCTCCCGGGTTTATGCCATTCTCCTGCCTCAGCCTCCCGAGTAGCTGGGACTACAGGCGCCCGCCACCTCGCCCGGCTAGTTTTTTGTATTTTTTAGTAGAGACGGGGTTTCACCTTGTTAGCCAGGATGGTCTCGATCTCCTGACCTCGTGATCCGCCTGTCTCGGCCTCCCAAAGTGCTGCGATTACAGGCTTGAGCCACCGCGCCTGGCCTCTCTTCATAATTTCTTGAGGGATTTCTTTTCTTTCTGCAGAGGGCAGTGGTGACTGTTCGCAAATGTGTGATGGAGAAGAGCCCCAGGAAGCCTCCAGCTCCCTAGCAAGATGTGGGTCAGGTAAGGAAGGGGAGGATTTCTGGCCCTGGGCTGCAGAGTGTCAGGAGGTTGAATTTGCAGCTTGTGTTTCCTGGTTGACTTTCCTCTGCGTATACCTCACAGTGAAGGGATCCAATTATATCCTGAGATTTTTCACATTTTCTGTACATGGATCTTTTGGGAAATGCAGGGAGGAATCTTGATATAGAAGTCTGTGTTTAACAGAATGGGATTTATTGTTTGAACATATGTATTCAGACAGTCTAGTGGTAGTTGAAATATGCCAAGACAAGGCAATGTGTTCCCTCCTTCATATTCTCATACCTTTCAATACTACAGTATTAAAATATTTTACCAAATAAGATCTCCTGATACCCTCACAAAACCTTAAGATGGGGGCAGGCAAACTGCATAATCCTATTTTATAGGTGAAGAAATAAAGGTCAGAAATACAGTAGGAAGAAGCAATACTCTTTTGTCTTTATTTTTCATAGCTATCAATACTATTATTTGAATTCATATAAAATTTCTATTCTCACTCCCTCCATGGAAATAAAAAAGGGTGTCATTCCTCTGCTGGTAGATACTTTTAATCACTTTTTCACAAACTTGACAAAGCCTTCAGTGTAATGGTATTCTACCATCTAACTGGCAGAATTTAGATCAACTATTTATGAGACTAAATGCTGTTTTTGACCAGTACTCCCCATTTTGTCATTGGATCATGCAGTGTTTTTTCAGAGTACTCTGATAAGTGTTATAATTTTACCCACAAATCCCTCAAGACTTAGATAGGGAAGGTGCTGTTATTGCTGTTTTGAGGAGCCAGAAACACAGAAGTGCATGTGACACGGGTGTTTGATGAGACTCAAGAAAAAAGAAAGAGCAGAGACCAGTGTCCTGGATGACTGCTTACAGGCTTTCAGTTCTATGAGTGGGCATGGGTTGGGTTGGGGTCCCATAGTCTGAGTCCAATGTGGATGCCCAAAGGGTTTTTAGGAATCTAACAGACTCTCCCAGGGTTCAATGGAAAGATACTCTTATTTAACAAATAAAGAAAGATTAGGGAGAGATGAGGAAACATTATCAAGAGTTGGAAAATACTTGAATGTAATCTACAATACGAGATAGGAGATATCCAGAAAAATAGGGCCAGAAAAGTGAAACAGGGAGGCAATATGAAAAGCATATGTAGCACATCACTGAAGGAGGAAAAAGCAGTAAGGGAGAGGAGATGTTAAGAAGAGAAAGTCCAGAAAGCCAGAAAGAACCACAGATGCCTTCACAGAGTAATAATAAAAAGATATCACTAGTAGAAGAGGCTACCACCTAGGCTGGGTGCGGTGGGTCACCCTGTAATCCCAGCACTTTGGGAGGCCAAGGCAGGTGGATCACTTGAGGTCAGGAGTTCAAGGCCAGCCTGGCCAACATGGCAAAACCCCATCTCTACTAAAAATACAAAAATTAGCTGGGTGTGGTCGAGCACACCTGTAGTCCCAGCTTCTCGGGAGACTGAAACAAGAGAATTGCTTGAACCCGGGATGTGGAGGTTGCAGTCAGCTGAGATCACACCACTGCACTCCAGTCTGGTGACAGACAAGACTCCATTTCAGAAGAAAAAAAGAAAAAACAAGGGGCTACCACTTAATCTCAAACAAAAGGCTGAATTTATTGTTCAATTAAGGGACAGTTGCACTTGTGGGTCAGTTTCTCTGACCGGAGAACGTTTGTGGAAGTGTGGATCTTGGTGACTGGTGGCCTTCAGAAGTGAGATTTGTTAGTGGTTAGCTGACTTTTAGTGAAAGCAGGTCACTGGAGTGTGGCTGTTACTAACTGGCTGACTTTCAGAAGCATGGGGAAGTGAATGGTTGGCTGGCTTTCAGAGGCCTGTGTACTGGCCAGAAGCTGTTGTTGATTAATTGGGATGATTCTGGTTGTTATTGACCATATGGCCAAACAATAATGAGTTTTCATAGAAGTGTAGGGACTTTCAATTATCATACACATATATATCACAGTTTCTTTATCCACTCATTAACTGGTGGGCATTTGGGTTGGCTCCACAATTTTGCAGTTGTGAATTGTGCTGCTATAAACATGCGTGTGCAAGTATCTTTTTCGAATAATGACTTCTTTTCCTCTGGGTAGATACCCAGTAGTGGGATTGCTGGATCAAATGGTAGTTCTATTTTTAGTTCTTTAAGGAATCTCCACACTGTTTTCCGTAGCAGCTGTACTAGTTTACATTCCCACCAGCAGTGTAGAAGTGTTCCCTGTTCACTGCATCCACGTCAGCATCTACTGTTTTTTGATTTTTTGATTATGGCCATTCTTACAGAAGTGAGGTGGTATCACATTGTGGTTTTGATTTGCATTTCCCTGGTCGTTGGTGATGCTGAGCAATTTTTTCATATGTTTGTTGGCCATTTGTATATCTTCTTTTGAGAGTTGTCCATTCATGCCCTTAGCCCACTTTTTGATGGGATTGTTTGTTTTTTTTTCTTACTGATTTGTTTAAGTTCATTGTAGATTCTGGATATTAGTCTTTTGTCAGATGTATAGATTGTGAAGATTTTCTCCCACTCTGTGGGTTGTCTGTTTACTCCGCTGACTGTTCCTTTTGCCATACAAAAGCGCTTAGGCTTAATTAAGTCCCAGCTATTTATCTTTGTTTTTCTTGTATTTGCTTTTGGGTTCTTGGTCATGAAAGCCTTGCCTAAGCCAATGGTTAGAAGGGTTTTTCTGATGTTATCTTCTAGAATTTTTGTAGTTTCAGGTCTTAGATTTAAGTCTTTGATCCATCTTGAGTTGATTTTTGTATAAGGTGAGAGATGAGGATCCAGTTTCATTCTCCTACATGTGGCTTGCCAATTATCCCAGCACCATTTGTTGAATAGGGTGTCTTTTCCTCACTTTATGGTTTGTTTGCTTTGTCAAAGATCAGTTGGCTGTAAGTATTTGGGTTTATTTCTGGGTTCTCTATTCTGTTCCATTGGTCTATGTGTCTATTTTTGTACCAGTACCACACTGTTTTGGTGATTATGGCCTTATAGTATAGTTTGAAATCATGTTGTGTGATGCCTCTAGATTTGTTCTTTTTGCTTAGTCTTGCTTTGGCTTTGCGGGCTCTTTTTTGGTTCCATGTGAATTTTAGAATTGTTTTTTCTAATTCTGTGAAGAAAATGGTAGTATTTTGATGGGGATTGCACTGAATTTGTGATTGCTTTTGGCAGTATGATCATTTTCACAATATTGATTCTACCCATCCATGAAGCATGGGATGCATTTTCATTTGTTCACGGTGTCTATGATTTCCTTCAGCAATATTTTGTAGTTTTCCTTATAGAGGTCTTTTGACTCCCTGGTTCAGTATATTCCTAAATTTGTTTTTTTTCTTTTTTTGCAGCTATTGTAAAAGGGGTTGAGTTCTTGATTTGATTCTCTGCTTGGTCACTGTGGTTGTATAGAAAAGCTACTGATTTGTGTACATTAACCTTGTATCCAGAAGCTTTGCTGAATTCTTTTACCAGTTTAGGAGCTTTTGGGGAGTCCTTAGGGATTTCAGGGTAAACAGTCACATCATCAGCAAATGGTGACAGTTTGACTTCCTGTTCACCAATTTGGATGCCGTTTATTTCTTTCTCTTGTCTGATTGCTCTGGCTAGGACTTCTAGTACTATGTTGAAGAGGAGTGGTGAGAGTGGGCTTCCTTGTCTTGTTTCAGTTCTCAGAGGGAATGCTTTCAACATTTCCACATTTAGTATTATGTTGGCTGTGGGTTTGTCATAGGTGGCTTTTATTACATTAAGGTATGTCCCTTGTATGCTGATTTTGCTGAGAGTTTTAATCATAAGGAGATGCTGGATTTTGTTGAATGCTTTTTCTGCATCTGTTGAAATGATCATGTGATTTTTGTTTTTAATTCTGTTTATGTGGTGTATCACATTTATTGACTTGCATATGTTAAACCATCCCTGCATCCCTGGTATGAAACCTACTTGATCATGGTGGATTATCTTTTTGATATGTCGTTGGATTCAGTTGGTGAGTATTTTGTTAAGGATTTTAGCATCTATGTTCATCAAGGATATCAGCCTGTAGTTTTCTTTTTTGGTTATGTCCTTTCCTGGTGTTGGTATTAGGGTGATGCTGGCTTCACAGAATGAATTAGGGGGGGTTCCTTCTTTCTCTATCTTGTGGAATAGTGTCAAAAGGATTGGTACCAATTCTTTGGTGGAATTCTGCTGTGAATTTGTCTGATCCTGGACTTTTTTTTGTTGGTAATTTTTAAATTACCATTTCAGTCTTGCTGCTTGTTATTGATCTGTTCAGGGTATCTAATTCTTCCTGATTTACACTAGGAGGATTGTGTTTTTCCAGGAATTTATCCATCTCTTCTATGTTTTCTAGTTTATGTGCATAAAGGTATTCATAGTAGCCTTGAATGACCTTTTGTATTTCACTGGTGTCAGTTGTAATATTTCCTGTTTCATTTCTTAGTGATGTTATTTGGGTTTTCTCTCCTCTTGGTTAATTTTGCCAGTGGTCTATAAATTTTATTTACCTTTTCAAAGAACCAGCTTTTGTTTCATTTATCTTTTATATTTTTTTGTTCCAATTTCATTTAGTTCTGCTCTGATCTTGGTTATTTCCTTTCTTCTGCTGGGTTTGGGTTTGGTTTGTTCTTGTTTCTCTAGTTCCTTCAGGTGTGACCTTAGAGTGTCAATTTGTGCTCTTTCAGTCTTTTTGATGTAGGTGTTTAGGGCTATAAACTTTACTCTTAGCACCACCTTTGCTGTATCCCAGAGGTTTTGATTGTCGTTCAGTTTGAAAAATTTTTTAATTTCCATCTTGATTTCATTTTTGACCCAATGCTCATTCAGGAGCAGGTTATTTAATTTTCATGTATTTGCATGGTTTTGGAGATTCCTTTTGGAGTTGATTTCCAGTTTTATTCCACTGTGATCTGAGAGACTGCTTGATATAATTCCGATTTTGTTAAATTTATTGAGGCTCATTTT